TAATAGCGCGTTCGTTCCCCACCATAAACACCTGCGGTCCAGAGTTTTGCAAATATCTCAGCAACGTTGTGGTTGTATTTTACTCGCTTTTCATAGATTCATCTCGAATTTCTGTCTGTATCTGTAGCGACAGTTTTTAATTTCCAGGTACCGTATGCCTTTAGGAACCTGTTGATCTTGCAGTAAATAGTGAATATTTTTAAAAAATGCCTTTAGATTGAGCAGGCATTTTGAGCTTTCGGTAACATCATCGGTGATGATCCACCATTTCGAAACTATTGCATTCAGCGTGATATACCTCCATTACTTCTTGGTTTTATTGCACCCAACACACCGCTTGTTTTCCTTTTTGTGCATCGTAACATGGGTTATTGTCAATTTATTCCCTCCAAAGACCTGCACCAGAAATAATGAAAACAATACTACCAGAACGTTAGTCTTGCTGTTTCACCATGTTGATCAAAATATCCTTATCGGAACTGTTTGGACGCTGCCGTATCTTACAGATGGAGGTAACGAGGCAATCCATTGGCTCACCAATAGTGGAATAATTCGATGTTTTTCTTCAATAAGCAGGCACGAGGTTGTTATTATAGAATTTATTAGGATACAATAGCTGACGTTCCGGCGATTTCGTGCTCGGAGTGATGCATGAGCGAGAACTGTATTACTTTGTGTGGCTGCTATCCGCCAACTAACTTAAGTATTTACAACAAATAAACGGCTCTGAAGAAGACGAAACCTCCGAAACGTCAGCTATTGTATCCTAATAAATTTTATAATAACAACCTTGTGCCTACTTATTGAAGAAAAACATCGAATTATCAATCGATGCCGAGGTTAACAGAAAGTCGGTCTTGAGGATAGTGGAATAGTTCCATCACTTGTACATTGGCTTCGTCATAATGATGTGATGATGCATACGGCAGCACTACGAGCTGTTGGTAATATTGTAACAGAGTCAGATGCAAGCAGAGCTTGTACTGGATTGCTGTGTGTCTCTGGAGATACCATAACTTCTTTACCATCATAAGGATAGATTTAATAAAAATGCTGTGCGATTCTTGTCGAATATCGTTGCTCTTAGATTGTCCTTGTTTCAATTTTTAAGTAATTTTCTGTTCTGTATGTCACGCTTAATTCTCGAAAGGTTCTTATCTTCTAATGGTCGGAAAAATTCACTTAGAATGAAAAGACTACCCATGAACAACGCTAGATTGTGTTCATGTGGTGTTCATTGTCCATAAGAGGTGTGTAGTAGAATTGTATTATATTACTACTAAATACACAGTCGATGTGGTGTATTCGTCAAGTAGTTTTTGACTGTTTGTTTTCTAAGGCAGCCTTCAATCTCATTGAGAAAGGTATCACAAATTTGGTATGTATCGGTGGAGATGGTTCACTTACTGGTGCAAACATGTTTCGAAAAGAGTGGCCTGGACTTATCCAGGAGCTTGTGGAGACGAAGAAGGTAGGTTGCTGCTATGTTAGGTGGTTTTAATCTAATGTCATTTGTTTTAGATCACAGCCGAAACCGCACAGAATCATCCCAATATCCAGATTGTAGGTCTTGTTGGATCAATCGATAACGATTTTTGCGGTGAGTATTTGGACAAGTTCATGAATCACTCATTTCGCCACTTAACCATGGAGAAAATGTATTCCTTCTGTCTTAAGCAGTGTGAACACTCCATTATATTTGATTCCATTATATTGTTTATGTGAAACGACGTGTAAGTTTTCTTCCAAACAGACGTTTTTTTTACCATGCCCTAATTTCAGGAACTGACATGACCATTGGTACTGACAGTGCGCTACAACGTATCATAGAATCGATTGATGCAGTAGTTGCTACTGCTCAAAGTCACCAACGTTCATTTGTTGTCGAGGTTGGCAGTGGGTGATTGAGCCCATATCTACTAAACCATATGGCTTCAGTTTTCGTTGTTAAGGTTATGGGACGGCACTGCGGTTACCTTGCGCTAGTTGCTGCCTTAGCATCTGAAGCTGACTTTTGTTTCATCCCCGAATGGCCTCCTCCAGTGCACTGGAATGATATTCTGTGCAAGAAGCTTCAAGAGGTAGGTTTTGTGAAACGGGAAATAGAGGTTATGTTTTGGTGGAAAGCCTTCCTTAAGGGACAAAAACGTTTTTGTCCGAATGTTCATCATTTTTGGTTTTAACTTCAGATGCGTGCGGAAGGTCAACGACTGAACATTATCATTGTTGCTGAGGGAGCAATTGACCGAAATGGCACTCCAATTTCTGCTGAGGATGTAAAAAATGTCGTTGCTAATACGTTGCATTATGACACCAGGGTACGTAAATATCGACGACGCGTTTAAGGCTAGAGAACAAGTTGTTGCCAGACTAAATAAAGCTTGTTCCTCTGTCGACTGCGTTAATGGGGTTGTATGAACACGTAGATAGTAACTCATCAGAAGGTTTTTAGGTTACCGTCTTAGGTCATGTCCAGCGTGGCGGTTCACCATCTGCTTTTGATCGTCTTCTTGGTTGCAGAATGGGTGCCGAGGCTGTGCTTGCCCTTATGGAAATGAATGAGGTGTTGTCCGAAATGCAAATCGAACATCTTAGGTGTGGAAATATGAGATGTTAGCCTTTTTTAAGGAATCTGAACCATGCGTCATTTCCATTGATGGCAACCAAATGGTTCGTGTGCCTTTGATGCAATGTGTGGAACGAACTCAAGCGGTTAGTTGAGAAACTTTTTCTCTCAAAATGACAGGAAATGCGGACCTTGTTTGTAACCCTTAGGTATAGTTTATCGTAAAGTCGAAACTGCAATATTTTATGTGAAATACAACCACAACGATGTTGAGATTTTCGCAGAACTTGGACCCCGGGCCGAATCGAACCGCGATTACCCTTTCCGGGACTCGCGTTCTACACACAGCAGCACGGAGGCCCTTTGCATTTCTCTCAGCTACTTTTCCACCTAACACTGCCATTAGCAATCACCCGTCAATGGAATTGATCTCGGGAGCACAAATTGGCGTTCAACCTAGTTTTATTTCAAGGAGGTTGCCACAACGAATCTCTCTAGTTCTAACAATCGTTATCATTTCATAAGTCTCATATCTTCTTCTTTGAGGCCTACCATTGTTCATGGATTTAGTAAAATCGATCCTTTCATGGGTTGCTATTCATCGCCATTCACTGACTTCATACACTTGCAGGTGCAAAAAGCGATGAACGAAAAGGATTGGGAATTAGCTGTGAAACTGCGTGGGCGAAGCTTCCAGCGAAATCTCGAAACTTACAAATTGTTAACAAAATTGCGTACAGTCGAGAAGGATAACCTTTCTGGTGGACAGAATTTCAATGTCGCCGTCATGAATGTTGGAGCTCCTGCTGGAGGTGCACCCTAGAAATTGTGAGGTTGATTGAAATATTCGCTTATCTTCATCATCCAAGGCATGAACGCTGCGGTCCGCTCTTTTGTACGAATGGCTTTGTACCATCACTGTACTGTGTATGGCGTTGAAGATTCGTTCGAAGGCCTAGCGAATGGAGCCTTTAAGGTAGGAGTGATAGACATTGCAGTATATTGCACTTGCAATCAATTTCTTCTTACAGAAATTCCAATGGGGTGATGTGACGAATTGGGTGATGTACGGCGGTTCATTCCTTGGCACACAGAAACAACTTCCGAACGAGAAAAACATTCCGGTAATAGCTGAACAGCTTAGAAAGCATAATGTACAGGCACTTCTGCTCGTCGGAGGGTTCGAGGTAATTTTTTCATTTTGACTTAAGCGGACCGTTTTTTATGAACTCTGTAAAATTCGAATGCATTAGTACCAGTCCTTGCTTTTCGCATGGCTATAGCTATAACAGATAGTTAAGAATTTACTTTATTTTATATAAGTGAAGTTTTTTGTAATTGTTTAGGAAAGTTGAATATCCGTGTAGTTATTGCTAGGGTAGCGTTATTATGGTGTACCGTTACGTAGTAATATTGTCAGTCCGATGAAAAATAACTGGTAGTAAGTTGGTGAGTTGTACATTCTACACAATGACGTGGAACTTTTCTATGAAACGCCCTTATGATTTGTTCCTTCCTAGCGCATTCATCCACGGGCGCGTGTGGCGCAGTGGTCGGAGGCGCTCTGCAATACATATGGGACCGATCCCCGCGCCCGTGCCTCACCAAGCTTTCCGTCCTTCCGAGGTCGGCAAATTGGTACCATATTTGTTTAGGAGGATAACATCATTGGTTCGATACATCAGTAAGCCACCGCGAGTTATTGTAGAGGACAGATATGCATTATTCAATCACCAACGATGCTTAATGAAGTGGAACGCATGGCGCATCCCTTAGGAATTGATCAACGCCAAGAGCTCTATCTTTATTTATTTACTAGCACATTCGGGACCTTGAGTTCTAGCTACGACGCCGTTGAAAGTTTTCATTCATTAAAATGTTAAAAACGTGCGAGTCCACTCAAAAGAATACAGCACTTGTATATTTACCTTGCATTGAAACAGTACATCCGTTTAATATTAAGCACACGTTTCAGTTCACTGCGGATTTGTTGGTTGGAATAAAAACGACTAGCATATTCATATTTCCTAGTATGATAAAAGTTTGTCACGGTGCCAAGTTGGAACGCTGGTTTTCTTGAACTCAAGGTTCACCTTTCGTTGTTTTCGTCTTTTTATGGTTGAACCTCGTATCTTAATCGTCTAATAGGACACGGTGGTGCACGGAAATGAGTGGTTCATGTTAGCGGCTGCTGCAGTTGCGTCTATTTCTTCAATCTAATTTAAAATTTAAAAATAGTTAGGTATTTAATTGGTTAGTCGAACTGTTTGTATTCACAAGTTATGGATGCCCGAACACATTTCCAATTACTTCGTTTTTTACTGACGATTAGAACAGATATTTTCTGGTTTATGAGTGAATCGACTGCTCGTAATGAAGTGGTAATCGCATCCAGTATAAAGTTGCACTGCTGTACTGTCAAGGAAGTGCCATCTACGTGTCTTTATGACTTGTGACGACTTCAATGTCCAGCATGAGTTTACATTGAAGAAGTGTGTAGTGAACAGGAAGATTCAAGGTTTTCGTATACTATATGACTTCCAATGGCCTTTCTTATTCGTACGTCGAAGTCTTTAGCATCATCAATTGAAGGACTTTTCGTTAGTGATCACTTCTTCAGACTAATTTTGGAACACTTTTAATATGCTTTGATTAGATCAATGGGTTCACGGCAGAGCGCTAATGATATCGGTCTTCTTTTGATTTGAAGGTTTAAGAGTTGAAGATAGAAGATGGCCAGATAATGTGATGGGTTGCCTTCTGAGTAAACATAGTAGGTAACGGGTGCTTGGCCAATGCCACCTATATCCCATTTCCTGACGGGTTCTTCTCTACATAGGTAAAAGTGGGCTTGTCATTTAATTGGCGTATGTTACACTTCTTGCTCTTGGTCTATAGTACTACGAGCACGGTAATCTTGATCTGATCCGCAGTACTTTATAGAGCGTAAGAATCGGCTTCTGAATGTACAGTTTCAGTGTTATAATCGTAAAGTTAAAAGTATCTTCCAATTTGTCGTGGATGTGCACCTATGATTCAGCTCCAATCACATTGTATGTAATCCTAGATTGGATCGACCATTACTGGTTGTCTGGTTCCCGACATAGTCGACATGGGTACCGAGGCTGATGTATATCAAACTCAATTATTTTTTTCTATGCTAGCCTTGTTAAAGTATTCTAGGGCGGTCATTATGGGTGAACTCTGGTCACCCAACACAAAAAGAGGTTTCGAAATGTTGAATTTTCTTTTAAATTTGGGAAACTGCTGGGAAGAACTCGAAGGGTTGTAAAAGGATAAAGCTCTCGGCGTTCATCTATCCCTGAGGTATGCATCATGAATTCAACTTCATCAAGCATCGTTGGAGGTGATTGAATGCATATCTGGCCTTTCCAATAACTCGTGATGGCCTACCGATGTATCAAACCAGTGTTGCTAGCCTCCCAGGCAAGTCTGGAACCAATTTCCCGACCTCGGAGGATGGAATGCTTGTTGGGTCATGGGCCAGGGATCGATCCCTCGTATGTGCTGCAGTGCGCCTCCTACCACTGCGCCACATGCACCCTCCAAGGCTTACAAATATTTAATGAGTACTGTTTATTTTCGCTAATTATATACTATGAGTTTTTCGGAGTAGAAACGGTTATGTTTTATGGGCTTGACAGCCGGCTAGTATCGGTATTGTAAGGTCTGCTTTGTTCGAGCCGACGTTTGATGTCATTGTGCATTCTTCACTATTCTATTGCTAGTTGTCGATTGGCATATGATTAATGGAACGTTTTGCATTTCAGGCCTACCATTCAACCCTAATCCTGTCGAAAAACCGGGACAAGTACCCTGAATTCTGCATACCTTTGTGTGTAATTCCATGCACTATTAGCAACAACGTTCCCGGTTAGTTCACATATTTTTTCAGTGCTACATGAATAACATATGGAAACCAATGTTTGAGGTACTTCCTTATCTCTTGGTTCGGATACTGCCCTGAATGAAATCTGCAGTATGATTGACAAGATTAAACAATCAGCTACAGGAACCAAACGGAGGTAATTCATTCTTTCAGTGTTGCACATAAGGATTGGGTAATAAAGTGTTGAAAGTTTTACTTGTAGAGTGTTTATCGTTGAGACGATGGGTGGGTACTGCGGTTATCTCGCCACGCTTTCTGCTCTCGCCTCAGGTGCTGACAATGCTTATATCTACGAGGAGAAGTTCACCGTAGAAGACATTATTGAGGATGTAGAAGTGAGTGTACAAAAATTCTCCAGTTTTCTTTTTATCTACTCAATTATCAGGTTATTGCCGCCAAAATGGCTCAAGGAGTTCAGCGTTACCTTATTGTTCGCAATGAATGTGCCAATAAGAATTTTACAACGGAATTCGTTAAGCAGTTGTTTGCCGAGGAAGGTAAAGGCGAGGTGAGCTTAGATATTTAATGACTGGTTGTCGTAAGTCAGGTTCATATGTTTGATAATCAGATTTTGCCTAATATTATGGTCATGCTTTCAATTTCACATTCATGTCCAGTCGATTTCCCTATCGATCAATGACTAGATCAGTCGCTACAGAAATTTGGAGCTACTAAGAAATTATTTACAAAATAAGTTGCATTTTGGCGACGTGAAAGAATTTCGTCGCATTTTTTGAACAAGATTCTACCCAATGTGATTATTCGCGTGTAGCGCAGTGGTGGAAGGCGCCCTGCAATACTCATAGGATCGAGCCACGCGTAGCTGGCTCACCAAGCTATCCGTTCCTCCGGAGTTGGCAAATTGGTACCAGACTTGTCTGGAAGGATGGCAGCACTGATTCAATACATCGGTAGGCCACCACGAGTCATTGTAATGGCCAGATATGCATTCATTCACCTCTAAAGGATGCTTAAACAAGTCGAATGCATGGCGCATCCTTCAGGGGTTGATCAACGCCGAGGGCTTTATTTTTTATGTGTTTATTCTAAAGCATGGTGTTCTCGGGACGTTTCCTTCGGTTATCCGTTTTCATGTTTTCAAAAGTGTAGTGTTCTCTCATCCTAAGATATCACATCTCTGGACGAAGACTTGATAATCGTGCAGGTTCCGAAGGAAGTGAAATGCATACCTGTTTGAACTGTTAGGCAAAAATATGAATAGATAGTAATCACAAAACGCATGGCCTGCAGATTATGGCTGATATAAGAAAACATCCTAACGAAATCCTTGGAGATTTCACCAAATCACCAAACGCATGCATAGTATGCATTTCCACGTATACCTTTGTCCTGATTAATTTTTTAGGTGCTGGCCTGCTTTAGTTATGGTTGAGCGAACGTTGTTGCACCTACGCTAGGATTCCTTTCGTTAGATGGTGTCATATACCACACTCTCCGAATGGTTTAGCTTCTTATCATGGCTAGAGGGTGTTGAGCTAATAAGGATTTCTCAAGCTAAACGGCTTGTTGTTCAGACTCTTCTGAGAGTGAACTACTACCAATAACTGCTGCAATCATTGAAATGAAGTAATCATTAACTGCAATGTGGTCCAGCACGATTCATCAAAAGATGGAAATATTTTCCCAACTATCAAACAACTACAGGAGGCTTCGCAAACCGCGCTGGGGCTTGTTTCGTGATTTCTGAAGAGAGTTAGTTCAAGTTTTTAATAGATGTGTGCCACTTTTTCGGAAAAACTTGTGCGACACCTATGCAAGTCGTTGTCGATCCTGCCAAACCACTCGTGGTCACCTCGTTACGATTCATTGGTGAACATTCAGTATTTCTGTGTTCTCTCGAGTTGTTCGGTATCGGTCGCCTTCGTTCATAATAAAAATCTTGCATTTTCGATACTATTATTTCCTTTGCATGGATGACTGAGGCACTTGCACTAAGGGCCACTTCACCTGAGAAGTCTGTTACCAATTTATCAACACTGTAGTGATGGAAATCTTACCTTAGGCTTAGCCTGAGGAAGGAGATGGAGCACACGACCATGCCCATCACAGGGCATCTGTAGCTACCGCGCTACACGCACTACCCTGAATTGTGATAACAAGTCGAATTTGTGATCTTGTGTTGTGCAACAAACTAGTGGTTGCGTTTACGACGTTATATGAAGTGAGATTGTCGGAATGAGGGAGGCTGCTGTAAGTGAAATAACATAACTGTCAGAGAATAGATAGTGGTATTTGTATTAATGATTAGACCTTTTTGTCCACTAGAAACACTGATATTATAACATTTGTACTTGATTAGACCCCAGTTGTTTTGATATTATTTTACGAATTTGGACTTTAAGTTGCAGGCTTTGGTTTATGTAGTCCATTAAAGTTAGTGATATAACTAAGTGATGAAATTGTATAATTAAAAAAAGCTTTCGGCGTTGACCAATCCCTCTGGGATGCGCCATGCACTCAACTTCATTAAGCCTCGTTGGAGGTGGCTGGATGCATATCTGGCCTTTACAATGACTAATGGTGACCTACCGACGCATCGAGGCAGTTCTGCTATCCTCCCAGACAAGTTTGGTACCATTTTGCCAACCCCAGAGGGATGGAAGGCTTGCTGGGTCATCGGTGCGGAGATCGATTCCACATGTGTTCCAGGGCGCTTCCGGCCACTGTGCCACATGCGCTCTTCCGTTTCCAATTACTTGATAAAAATAACTGTCGAAGTATGACTCTAAAACTTTCTATGGTGGTTATCTACTTATCAAAGAATTTTCGACAGACTACTCTGTATTTTAATCGGCTGTTTTTATAGTTCTCAACTCGTATTAACATCCTTGGTCATGCTCAGCAAGGTGGTAGCCCAACACCTTTCGATCGTAACATGGGGACGAAGTTAGCTGCTAGAGCCCTAGAATATATCATCACGCAGATAAAGGTGAGGAAATGGCTTTCCACCCATTTTGATGCACATGTGAATCGCAATTATTTAAATTAGTATACTTTATTGGAATATACGACTTCAGGATTCAATGGTAGATGGCGTTGTCTCAGCAAAAACCCCTGAAACAGCGACACTACTCGGTCTGACCGGAAGACGCGTGGTAGCTATTTCTATAATTCTTATTTTCCTAGTAGTTCTTTAATCTTCTGAGATGCACGGAGAATGAGATAATTTTATCCGTAGTTAAAGTTCCGGAGTCAGAGCATATGCTTTGTTGACTCGCTGATATTCTTAGCCTTCTAAATTTTTAGCTGTCGATTGTAGAAAAATGTTTCGCTTTGTTACCAAAAAAGACATATTCAAGGTCTTCACTCCCGTGGAAGAACTAGCGGCAGAAACCGACTTCGAGAAGCGTCTACCATGTGATCAATGGTGGCTGAAACTTCGACCTTTACTTCGTATTCTCGCTAAGCATACTTCCATTTACCATACCGAAGCCATGGAAGATACTGAAGAGTACGATTAGTGCTTGTGCTTGCTATAGGACTAAGTAGTACCAGTAGTTTTTGCCAGTTAAATATCCTAGTTCTAGAGAATGATCTTGTTTTTTCTGTCCAGTCTAAACGCTGATCGTATGTAAGTTGTCAAAGGGTTCGGTTTATGAGGCAATAAAGCATATTTTCTATCTCATCAGGTCATTCCGCAACAGGTCATAGTAGCACAGTAAAAATATATTTATCGTCTATTAAAACAACTCCGATATTCAACCACCATTCTAACTGAATCAATCTGCTGTTGAAAATGGTTCTCTTCTCGAGTGTTTCGGCAGAGACGTCCAGAGGTCCCTCGATAAAGTGTGGAAATCCTGATCTCGCGTGATGACAGCTTGTGGTATCACACAGTATATCCCATACGTATATCTGCGTGTCGTACAGCTGATCTCTGTCACATTTAACGAGCTTACATAGGCTTCATCAAACACTACTACCACTTGGTAGTGTTCTACACCAGTCGTAATATATCCCCATTTGAAAAATAACTTATCTCCGAATGAAAGGTAGTGACAAAGTCTCAAATTTTTCTGTTACATCCAATAATTTGTGTCCAGAAAACGGTCCTGTATAACAACCTCCAAAGATGTCTGTGTAATAATTAAGCACCATCCTCCGAAGTACCACCTAATACTTCCTAAATGACTACACTTCATTCCAAACTAAATTGGAACCAAATACTTGTGCAAATCATCGTTTCTCATTCAATGACGTTGATGATTGTTATGTTTATCAAAACAGAGCTCATTAATACACAGTGGTGCAATGAAATAGACAATAGATATCTTAGTATAATTCACCTCACTCAACGATCACAATCGACAAAGAGGAAAAAACGGATATACAAGAAGGCAATGTTTCAATCACACGTACAGGGGTGATTACTAGACCAAATAAATTAACTGTAACAACAACAGGTCGCCTAAATGCACGACCCCAGGATGACAGTAGCGAATGCTTAGAGTTCAGTATGACCCTCCTCTTCAGCTTCCTCAGCGGCCTTCTCGTCGTCAGACGGTCCTGCGCCTTCTTTGCCACCGCTTTCGAGGAATTTCGTGAACCCTTCAAGAGTTCTGTCACCGGTGTAGTCGATAACTTTGTTCAATCCAGCTGGGAAGAACTTGATCGTCGGGAATGACTGCACTTTTACATCTTCGACCTGTAATGTGAACAATGCCCAATTCGCACAAATCTACGTTAATTAATGATGAAAACAATGTTCTCACTTCATTAGCGGTTGCGTCCATTTTAGCAATGATGATATTCTCGTGGTCTGCGTACTTCTCTCCGAGCTTATCCCAGGTAGGAGCAAGTTGTTTGCAGTGGCCGCACCATGGAGCGTAGAACTCGACAAGGACGTTCTTTGTATTGTCGCGTGCCACCTGGTCAAAGTTCTTCCCTACCAGCACCTTAACGGGGGCTTTATCCCAGTCTTCCGGAATCTCCTCGGACATAAGATGAGGCTTGAGAGTTCCATCCAAATATGACTGGGTGAACTTGACGATATTTTCAGTGTCTATTTCGACAAAGTCTGGCTTGAATTTTGTCATATCCTCTTCAAGTGAAATAAGACGCACAGCTGGTAAATCATCTTTCTTAAGACCAAAGAATTCCATGATACGAGCGTTGTCTTCAACGTCAGTATTAATGTAAACAAAAAGGACCTTGCCTTTGAATTGCTTGGCTGCATTTTTGAATTCGGTCTCTAACTTCTCGAACTCGCTAGAATCCTTTGAGACGAAGAGGAGATTGTGGCTCTTGATCTCACCACCGAAAATGACAGCCGCGGTCTCCTGGGTGAACTCTGAAACGAGTGCCAGACGGTTAGCCTGGATCCAAGACTTAAGGTTGTCGACGTTGAGCTTCTCGCCAAATACGGCGCGTCCTTCGTCAAACTTCTTTAGAAGGACGATTCCCTCGTCCTTGAGCTCAAGATGCTTCTTGACAGCATCCTCAGAGGTAATTCCAAACGGAATAGAATCTATTCCACTGGCAACTTCTAGATAAACATTTGCTTTCTCGTCCTCGACGTTCTAAAAAAGGAGATATTAAACCCGAGTGAAATCAAAAAGAATCTCGCGGTTTTCGATGACTTCCAAGTCTAAAAACAATGCGGTGATAATCTAAGCCCTAACGATAAAACATCTCACACGGACTTATGCTAGCATAACTAATCCTGAGTCACTATGAGGACGAATGAAATCAGCTGCTTATACAAATGATATCTGGATGTATACATGCCTATAAGAAATGAAAACAATGATGATGGAGACCTCTCTATAGGAAAAGTAGTGGAATCGTCTAAAGACGACAGACGAAGATACTTAACGCTACTACACGGGTCGTAGGCAATGCCTTAATTATTACGTGATATAGTCAGTAAAAGTAGTAATGCAAACCTTAAAGTACCCAATAACGACGACGTCCGCCTCCTCTTGAAGGGACTTGACGTCATCGGCAGTCATTAGTGTCTTCGCAACTGGTCCGGTCTTCTTCTTCAACCAAGCGATTATCGATGCAGCATCGCGCCCACCATTGTACTCACTGGGTTTTCCATTGCGGAACAGTTTTAGGGTTGGGTATCCGCGAACTTCGAACTTGCTTGCAACATCACCATGGACGGTTGCATCCAGTTTCGCTAACTTGATCGCTGAACCTTCCTCCTTCAATTGGGTTGCTGCCTTCGCATACTCAGGGGCAAGCGCCTAAATTTATCACGGATCAACGAAACAAAAATAACACAACCAAATATTGAAGGAGAAGAAAAGGAAGGAAAGAAAATGAATAAACAGAAACGTCGCGAACGAACCTTACAGTGACCGCACCAAGGAGCGTAGAATTCGGCAAGCACAAACTCATGACCGTTGATAACCTCGTCAAAGTTGTCCTATAAAAGGATTCCTTTACGACTATGAATTCTTGAGACATAACGTAATCCAAAGGTGCTCCAAGCACATGTTCCTTAACACGAACAGTCAAATGTCCCACTGTCAAGGTAACTGACAAGGTATATAGGAGATTCTTTGCATCTAGAAATTCAAGATGGAGACAAATCGTCAGATTCTTTAAGAGCCTGTTATTACAAGAAACGGCTGGACGCCAATTTCGGTGATGTTCTGAGATGAAGAAACAAAGTGCTAAGAAGAGCTGCTAAGGCTTACTTAATAGATGCTTCATAATTGAACGGCCCGTCCTCACTAGTCCTGCGGACCCCAGCATAATCACCAATTTCCGGAGATTTGCTGGTTGAGCCATTGTGGTTCCCTGGAATCCCGAGGACAGCCTAACCAAAGTCTGCCCAGGTCGTCACCACGACAGGCATTCGCAGCCCTTGTGGATCAGAGGAAGATTTGCCACCATGCGACTCTGATACCAGGACCGTGGAGGATTCTGGTATTGGTTTACTCTTAGCTAGGCTTCCTGATGGAAACGCCGGACTCCTTCTCAGCTTCGGAGCCCCTGCCGGGGTACGAACCCCGGCTGTAGATCGCAGTACGATGCCCAGGAACACCTCCCAGCCACGACGAGGTGGTAAATCGTTGGGAGGCTGCTAAGGCACTTATCCACTAGGCTTTCAGTACTGGTAGGACTGTTGAGAACATAGAGAGTGGCACTAAAGCACTGGACAGTACTTACCTTAGTAAGGACGAGCACATTCTCCTCTTCGTCAACGTCGACAGCGAATCCGGAGACAACAAGCAGGAAAAGGCAAGCGAGTTTGAACATTGCGTCCCCGATGAATGACATTTTGTCTCGTTAGGGCCGCGTGGTGACGGCACACCGTGGAGTCATCCGATTGGCCGACGGACGCTCCGCCCCGGCTGTTGATTGGTCGCGCAGCTCGCGATGCCGCGACGCGTGGCAAATCGCCGTTGGCCACGCTTTGATCCATTGGCAACGTGGACGACAAGTAGCTGTCCTTACCTGACTAATATAGACGTCAGCCGATATGAATATGTGAATCAGGACTCTTACATGTCGGGATCGTCGACATAAATAGAAGTCGGCTCGGTTGAAGTGGTCACTCGAGTACAGAGATTAGCGGCGACAAAACAAACAATTGTATAGTTGACACATTGGCGTGGACATGTCGAGTGATTTGTGTTTCTGTTGTTCCGTCACTTCACTCACCATCATTTTTGCCCATCAGCTGTGTTGGATATCACCTGTCAAGTGGATTACTATCATGTTCTTCTTGTTGGTAACGTTCGTTTGAAAGTCCAATTTTGGTAACGGGAAGCCTCATCGTACGTACGAATTCCCTCTGCCTAAGACTCGTGGGGATGACCAGTTACAATTAACTCTTTAGTTTTTGTCATATTCATTGATTTAAGTTCTTATTATAGACTAAGGATATTCCATGTTCTTATGGCTTTCATAGTTAGTGCATTAGAGTCACTTAGAAGACAAGATAAAGAAAACTGCAGGAAATAAGCGATTTAAATATTGCCGTTCTCTTTTTCCTCCTCTTCTTTTTCTTCTTCTTCTTTTTCTTCTTTTTCTTTTTCTTTTTCTTATTCTTATTCTTCCTCTTACTCTTCCTCCTCTTACTCTTCCTCTTCCTACTCTTCCTCCTCTTCCTCCTCTTCCTCTTCCTCTTCCTCTTCTTCTTCATCTCCATCTTCATCTCCTTCATCATACGTTTTTTGCTCAGCCTTGACTACGTTTTCAACGTTTTCGTCTTCTCCATTCACGAATTGATCCGTAACGATTGTCCAAAGCTGATCGTCCTAGTTATTTGGCTGTTCGTTGTCCCGTCAAGTTGAAATTCCGAGGTGGAGGACGGTTCCAATGAATGAAGATGATAAAGACTACAATAGATAGTCAGTCAAGAACACTTTTCTTAGCAAGCTGCTTTGATCGTTTCCACTGAACTACCGGCAGAATGATTGCTCTAGTTAAGTTTTCTCGCTCTAGTCACCTATCACACGGAATATATATATGTATATATATGTATATATGTATATATGTGTACATATATACACATATGTTTCCACATGTAATCAAAAAACAAAATTAGAAGCTGAGGTCCATATCATCCTATGAATCCTCTTCTGTGCTTTGAGTTTACACACAGGGCTACTCTATTAAGGTTATATTAGGGGGATTTACTGTGATAGAACGTCCACTGTATCCGTAAGTCAGAGGAAAACACGGAAAACGCTCTGTGTAACTGGTTGTTCTTAATCGATTAACGTGCTTTCTCCGTTTCTCAACTTAACACTGCATTGTACCTTATTAAATACTCTATTCTTTAATATTACTTGAATGTGAAGTTGTAACGTAATTAAAGTTACCACTTCATTTTAATCGATAGTGTTGTCATCAGTCAGGAACCTAATATCAAGGAACTAATCGATAACGACGTCAAGTTGGTGATTATGGCGCGGGTGTGACAGGGTATCTCCGATAGCGGTGCTACTGGTACAGAGGAGAGAGAGGGAGAGAGAGAGAGAGAGAAATGAACTAAACAAATTGCCGTTTTCTTCACTCTTGTAAATATTACATTCGTAGTCATTTTTAAGTTACTGCCTGTTCTTTTTTCATGGTAGGTAGGGTGTGATTTGAAAACATTCACAAGATGCCGTGATATTTTTGCAAGACTCTGGACCAAAGGTGTTTGCGGCGAGCGTCGAGCTCGCTCGTACCCTTTGCAGTTGTACTACATCTTTCTCTAAGTCATAGCGTTTAGCTCCTTCAATTCGTTTAAACATTATAGACATGTCTTACTGGAAAGCTTCCCGTTTTATGCCGTATTACAGTGCTAATTCCACTAATATCGATTAGTTCTAGTCGATAATTGCTATGAATACATTTCTAAGCTCTCATCCAAACGTGATCAACTACGTTACGAACGGTTAACTGATTAACGAGCGATGATACACATACAATAATGCGCTCAGCACTTTACAGTCTGCAGTACTGTTTGTAAGCATCTTTACTCGATAATAGAGATTTGATCTATCATCTTCTTAGCCTCCTTATGAATAGTTATCTATGAGTTCTTTTGAAGTTCACTATGGCCAGCCCTTCTTCCGAAGTCGGTGCAGAGTGCGAATCGATTGCGGTGCTTCAATGTCTGAGTGAGGGTATAGACCGAGGGGTTGCCCAGATACGCTCAAATGCATTTCGTATTCATCGCTGTTTTAGTCGTTATTCTAGATGGCCATTATCTAGCTTGTAACCTTGTTCATATATTTCTATTACCGGATTCCCAGTTCATGTTGATAACCGTTGTCTATATATTTCTTAACTCTGTATATACATTCTACTCGGATTTTTGAGCATAGGATTTCCTGCGTAATTTTTTCTACGAAATATTTCATGTTATACCTCTGATCGTTCCCATATGGAAGATCTTGATCCTGTGCAAGCTGTCTGGCGGCGCATCTCAGTTGGTGTATAGCGGCAAAAGGCGTCCTGAAAACCTGGGAACATCGCACTTATCTTAAGATGGAAGGGGTAAAGTGATTGGGCTAACAGTATTGTATCTGTCGGATTGACTTGTGCTTTCGTACATAAGTTTCACACTTGGGTAGATAAAGCTTTCATTCAAGTGTTAGTTGGCGATTCCTGATGGCCCTTAACGAATAATTCCTACTACGTCCACTAGCTCGTATTCTTGATCTGGGTCCGTGCCTATGGAGAACTGGTGTAATCGTAGAATCTCATCTCATCAGTGTTTCTTCATTCTCTCTCAGATTTGTGGTGAACATTCATGGTAATCGTGATATTCTTAGTTAAAGACCTCTGTATACATGTGTTAAATGCAATATATTAAAGATGAGCAACGTTAGCGAGCAAGTATCGAAAACTATGGAATCGGCTAAGGAGGCCGCTGCCAAAGTTGGTGAACAGGTGTCGGATTTCTTTCAAGGGAATCCGTTTTCGACACCAGTTGGACGGAAAATAGGTTTGTGATTTTGTGGTTAGGGCAGTTATATTTAGGAATTATACCGCAAAGCGTCATCCAGAATGGTGTTGTTATTTGCGAAATTCAGATTTCGTAGTGGTGTCAACTGTAACGCTGAAGTCATTGTTTGGTAGTGTGCACAATTTTTAGTTTTATATAAACTTACTGCAGCAAAGGTGATGTTGTATTGAGATATCTGTGGAATAGTTAGGTATATATGACAAAAATAGTTTAGAATATTCATTGTAATTAAACTTATTCAGTGAAGTGAGAGAAGCCTTGTACTTCACTAGACTAACGGATAGATCGCCTCATTTCGCTAAGAAATCGTGGCGGTTGAGTTCGAATTCTTGTTTAATTTCATTTCATTAGGTAATCTGGAATGGTACTTCAGTAAATATTTTCTAGTTTTTTCCCTATTTTACTTAAAATTACTCATTTATTACAGTTACTATATGTGCTGTTTTTTTTTTTTTTGGGGGGGGGGGGGGGGGGGTTTGTATGTATTTTTTCATTAGATGTTTGAGTTAGTACCTTAAATGTTGTTGATATGTTTTCGCAGAATAGGACTAGAGTGCACGAAATTTTCTGTTTGTGAATTGTCACGCCACTTTGAAGACGTGAACATGATGAAATACAAATCATATTATGGTACTGGTGTCTTATGTAAACGAATATGTTGATTTCTGTGATTTTTCAGAATTGGCCACTAATGCGACGATCCTAGCAACCGAGAATTGGGGCTTAAATATGGAGATCTGCGACTTTGTGAACAGCACTGAGGACGGGTAGGGTGTGCTACGAAATCTTTAATGATAAATTTTTCTTTTGAACGAGAACCTAAGATTGAGCAATGTTATCCTAGCGTCCTTGTTGGATCGTGTTTTCCCAAATATCCATAACGCATTTGCTTTCTGCCCGCCGATTAATATAGAGAATATTTGGAACTGTGGGACAGTTCGTGTTCGTGTTGTTTTGATGTTGTGAAAGCTGTCTGTCATTTCACTCGATAAAGTACGATGACTAAGTGAACGGATGGTGTTTGTTGGCATGTTTCCATGATTAATATTCTATTTGCATAGGGAAATCACCGTAGGAAAGCGACATTTGTTTCCAAACTGAGGGGTGGCAAGACGAAAACTAACGACTTTTTCTTCTCCATGGCAAACTTGCAGAAGCAAGTGTGGGCGGTATGCATATCATCTCTGTTAGGCCTCTTTTTTATCTTACATTGTCGTGGTAACTAGGAAACGGAAGCAAGTTGTGAAGTAAATGCTGGTTTTCTGAAAAATTCCGTCCTTGTCGTTTTCGGTTCCATCCTGTTCAGAAGTAGCGTTGCTGCTGTGAAGGAGCGTTTCGTCTTTCCCCACACCATTCGTGACATGTATTCATATAAGAAGCACAGTTAAAAGGGATTTGTGGCTAAATCAGTGGAAGACGCAGCTTATTCGAATTTCATTAACATTCTGGCGATGATTGGCACCTATAGGTGCTATAACGCTCTTGTGTCTGCAGCCGCTATGACAACCATAGGTTTCATTTTCTTTCCGGTAGTTTATCTCAGCACACAAGACTATTTTCCCACTCTTTTTGTTGTCAGTTGGTAGCTTGTAGAATACAGATATTGTCCTTGGCGTTCCTAGGGAAAAGCTTTATTTTGCGTTTAGATATATTTAAAAAACCGTTTTCCGAACGATTTCGCCAAGTAGAAATTTGGGTGCTAATCGGTCATATAGAGTGTTGGTAGAAAAAGTGGTGAAACAGGAGCTCATCATTTACAAAACACTTTTAGATGCCGGCAGTAATGTTTCTATGATGGACCGTAGTAACATATAGTAAATCGGACCATAAATATCAATCGTATCCATAATACGACAGATCAATGGCTTTTCAACAAGCTGCTCATGTTCACAGCCCACTAAATCTTCTAGTTATCGAGAAATGTTTTCGAGAATTGTTCTTTGTTTTCAAAGAAGAAAAGAAAAAACAACGAATCCATAGAGGCTAGAAATGAAGTGTCGCCCAGTTCTCAACAAACCAGAGATTATGCGTCGTTGCCAGATTGTCAAGACATTTTTTCATGGTTATAACGCTTAGTAGATGGCGTACAAGTAGTGCAGCGTTAGGGGTGTTCTGCAATGCATATGTGGCCGTTGGCTCGATCCTGCAGTACGGGCTCACTGAGCTTTTCATCCCTCTGGAGTTGGCACATTGGTACCAGACTTCTCTGGGAGAATGCCAGCACTGAATTCCTACATTGATGGGCCATCGAAACTGATTGTATGAGCCATATATGCACTCAGTCACCTCTAGTGAGGTTGAATGCTTGGTGGACTCCCTTAGGGATTGATGAACACCAAAAGCTTTTATCCTTTATTTTACGTTTATCAATCTTTCAAGTGTATTCTATTTTATTAGATGAAGGTGGCTATCTACGTAGTGTGGTCATTAGTTTTAACAATTTAGGGCTAATGAAAGAAAGTAGTGGGCAAAGGCAGGTTGATTTGGAATAAATAGTAAATAAGCTGCTGAGTACTTCTTTAATGTACTCTGTAGAAACAGTTCAATTACTTGTTACGCGTACTCCGCATCTGTAAAGAGTCAGGAAAGATTTTCTTCGTATACATTTGTACATAAATAAATGGCTAAATGCCGAATGCTAAATAGGTAGTAAGTTCAGTTTTTTTATGTTTCAGTGCTAAGGATGCAGTGCGTGCAATTCGTAGACGCTTACACACGAATATGTGTAAGAACAACGCAATTGTTATGTATACGTTAACCGTACTGGAGACTTGTGTGAAGAATTGTGGTCATAATTTTCACGTGTTGGTCTGTTCAAAGGATTTCGCCCAGGATCTGGTGAAATTGATCGGTTCAAAATTCGACACACCACAAATCATCCACGAACGTATACTGTCACTTATTCAGGTATGTGATAATAATTAACAACATACACTTAATTAAAATACTATTATGGTAATTAGCACTTTACATTGAATTTTTTTCTTGTTGTCTGATGGATGAAAAGAAGAAAGTGATTAAATTGGAATGTTCTATTATCTTAAAAGCGCTGTGCCCTAAAGAAACCATGTAGTGAACGTTTGATTTGACGACAGTTGTCATTAAATTGCGATAACTTGATTCATATTTTTCCAGAGTGAAATCTTAGTAGCACATCCATAGCTACCATGAAGTAATTATTCGTAATCAGTTAACTGTTATAAAGTGAACTATATATTTTTTTCTAATATTGAACCGAATATCGACGTGTGTATCGCGCTTTGAGTCGCGTTCAACTGTGATGGTCTCTGGTTCTTTGTACTTCAGCGTGTCGGGTAGACTTTTACAATAGTATTCCTTTTCCTTTTTACCTTTTTGGCTAAATCTGGGCAGAATTGAAGAATGTTTTCTTGAAGTGAAAAAAAGGGAACGTAATGAATGACCACATAGAAAATCATCAAACAATCCACATAATTAACGACGTTCTCTTCTTATAAGTTTTCTAATATAAACGTAGCAGTCACATATTTTCAGAGATGGAACGTTGTGCTAAACTCGGTGTTTATTAGTTTTCTGGAAGTTTTACCCATTTTCCTTATGACTCAGATGATCGATAATCTTACCTTCTACTGCGATTTTATCTATTTCTGGTAGGGTTGTTATTTAATGAAGGTCGTAGCTGACATTGGAATAAGATTTTGGTGTGTCATCGAACGTTTCGTGTGTTTGGGGGCGTGGTCGCTTTGACCCCGATCAGGTTGAGCAGTAATTGGGGCACTTGCGAGTCGGGACTCACCTTCGTCACGAATCTGTTATCGTCGGGGAATTCAATGTTGGTTGGAAACAATGCTACCTGCGTATGCGTCGTCTATCGTTCTCTTATTCTCTCTTATCTTCGTTTTTTCTTCAAGTCGACACGACCTCGCCGGACAATGTGCCCTCCATTCGCAGCAGTGACGCTAGTGTGCACCCCAAAATGTCACCGCTGACCTAGCGAACCGACTAATCACAAAGTCCACACAGGGATTCTGGACGCCCTAATACTTACCCAGTTGTTGAAGTATACTTCAGCCCATCTAACTAACGCCCAAATGTTCCTGGATCGTCTACGTAACGCTCGACCCAACAACGCGTACGTGAGGGAGTCCTTCGACGTCACCGCCTTCTATACAAACGTGTCGAATGACTCCGCTATGCAAGCCATCCGCGAGTCATTATACAACACTAAGGAGCAATAAACATGTATGGCTTCCCGATTCAGTAGTTGATGACACTCTTAAAGGAGTGCCTAAGCTGACCAATCTTCAAATGGTCCGGGAGGTATTACGCACAAATGAGAGGGCTGACAATGGGACAACGACTGGCACCAAGCCTTGCCATTGCATTCATGTCTAAGGTGGAAGCACCAGTAATCGATCTCGGGCCACTGCTCTACTGTAGATATATAGATGACTGCTTGGTCATTTGTTCAACACAAGAGTAAACTGACAAATGTTTCGAGTTGAACGAACCGTCAGAGTATATTAAATTCACCCGTGAGAAACCAAAAGACAACTGGCTTTCATTTCTGAACGCGCAAATTAACCTATCAAAAAATGGCTACATTACGGAATGGTATCGAAAGCCAAGTAGCAAAAACATCCTGGCTCATTACCTCTCCTCTCACCTCTCTCACACGAAAAGGGCTCTTGTGAGAAACATGTATCGAACAGCTACCAGCACAGGAAAACAGCAGAGAGAGGAGTCCCTGAACTTGGCGCGGCAAATAGCCACCTTTAATGGCTACGAAACTGTAACTCGGGATAGGTGTATAGTGAACAACAGCCCCCTCCAACGAAAACTCTAGCGACAATAAGGTAGCGTTTATCCTGTTCTTCATTTCAAATGAAGTAAGTGCAGCTTTAAAACGCTATTTAAGAAGGGCAGATCTAGAAAATTCGGTAAACGTAGTTAAAATGCTGCCGGGTATTCTTAGGCGCCAGCTAGGGTGATTGAATGAGTTGTGGTGCAGTTTATCTGACAAGTTAAACCAAGTACCCCACTCGGCACGCACAGGACAGAGACGTAACGGGAAGATTTTGGAGTAGACGTGACGATCCTCGCGCAGGAGTCGAGAACTCAAGCTCGCAAAACTTTCGAGGCATTCTGGATTAATTCCAAGAATCCGGAAATGAACCGCTGAGAGGAATGCCTCATAGCCACGCATGATATTGCGCAGCATATAAACCTGTTACTCTGATGAGATGGGCACATTACGATTCCATGTGAACTCTATGCGGTTAGTCTCCACGTGACATTTTTAGTGGAAGACTCATAGAAAGCGGCGAATACACAAAGACTTTGTGTTCAATATGATTGAAATTTTGCTCCGGCATTTTCTCTGTTTGGTTATGGAGGTGTTTAGCCGTGTAGATTGCAGTCAACTTGACCTCCCCAGGCTTTGAGAAAGGCGAAATCCGCCGAAACGTCTTCTTGTGCGTAAATAATGAAATAAAAAACACCTCTTGTTTGCTAAACAGAAGTAGAAAGGTCTGTTCAAACACTCGAAAGAACCGTTCTGTTCAGTTTTTTAGACTGATTTTTCATAGTATTTGAAAAAAGAGCAAAGAAGAGCGAGAGGTTACAGCAGCAGTTCCAATTCACGATGGCATGGAGAACACATCCAACAAATTTAACGTAACAAACTCATTTTCATCACTGTTTGCTCGTTTCTTCAATCCATCCTTCAAGCCACTAAAGAATTTGTGGTACTAGACCTATCTAAGCAAGAATTGCTATCTCAGCACATCTTTCTACGCGACCATTTGTATTTCGTTAAACGCTCTCCCTTCATGTGACCAAATACTTCTATGATTCTTGATACGACTGAATTGTCACAAATCAATAACAATAGGATGGATTTCATATTTGTCTCAATGACCCGTTTTCATAAACGATCGTAAAAGACCCATCACAATTTCCACCTCACTAGTACTACGTCCATAGGAAAAGATGTTTTTCCTATAGTGCAATGATCTATGTTCTTAACCGTCATTAAGTTAACCCATATTCTTTATCGCCCTACCACACTATCCTTACTTCAGTGTAGGAGCGATTCCCAGCACTAGCTTACTAATTGCTATGCTTTTGAAGGGAAAATTCGAGCTTTTTACCTAGGTGGACTCACTTGCTTGACTTTAGCCAGATCATATCTGCCCATTGTTGGTGTGGCCTTTCAAGACGCTCGCATTCTGTTGGAGTCCACACCACTGTTCTTTTCGTCCGTCTGTCATCTGTTCTTATTGTGTGACCAACCCTTCTGTGTTTCGCTACTGATATACATTCTCCTGGATTCCGATGATAGGATAGTGCACGTTGAGTAGTACGCGGTATTCTTAATGTGGTTGAAGTATCATCCAATGTCTTTGCTGCATGACAGAGCGCTGAGACGACAGCTGAATCGAGAAGGTGGGCGCAGATTTCCAGGTCATTCAGTTGGTCGGTTGGCTTGCTTGAGATGCCCGAATGTGGCCCAAGGTACTTTCCTTCTTCTATCCAGTTCCTTCTTCACGTTGTTTTCCATGTCCATTGATCGCCCAAGGTATACGTACGAGGTGGTCTCTGCAATCAGAGAACCATCCAGTTTGATCTGATCGCCTTCGCACCATGGATTTTTCATGAAATGGCTGTTCGTTCTATCTATGCACGGTTAAATATTTTTTCCGTTTTGTTGAGTTCATTGAGCACTGTCTGTGGTTCACTGGTATTCCTCGAAGAGATAACGATGTCAGCTGCTAAACGAACATTTGAAAGGAATTATCCTTTAGTGTGTGCTCCTTCTCGTCCAGATCAAGTGATTTCACCATCCATTGCAATGCGGCAGTATACAGTTAGGGCGATGTTGTATCACTTTGCTGAACGATTTCGCTATGCGTATGGTGAAGGTTCGGTGGAGAAGCTGTATGTTTGTGCTATAGTTCCATTAAGTTTGCTAATGTTGATATATACGATGGGTCCACTCCTTGGTCGACGTACACTGATAGGATTGCATTCATTTCCACGCTGGGGAACGCTTTCTCGTAGTCGATTAAGGTTAGGGCAAGATGCAGATCGTGCTCCCGACAGAATTCTATGAACTGTGGTACGGTTCGGATGTGGTGCATGCAGCAGAATCACGCGGAATCCTGCTTGCTCAAGCAGTTGCGCTTTATCCAAGGTCTTCGATATGCGGAAAAATTTCGCGAACTACTTTTAGAGTACAATTAACAAGCACATTTTACGATAGGTGTGAAAATCTCTTCTGTCAACCTTCTTGTTTATGATGACCGTGCGCGAGGTCCTCCTCTGGTTTATGATTTTCTCTTTCTGATGGTAAGATAACGTGTGAGTTGTGAGGCATACATGTAATTTGTGTTCACAACTTTGCGGAAATCGGCGCTGATATTATTGGGTCGTGGAGATGTGCCTCTTTTCATATTTTCAATCGCAATGTGAGCTTCAGAGAATAGATTTCCTAGAGGTCTTTCACCAGCAGGGATTTCGGAGTCCGATACGAAGGCTGTGGGGCAGAAATGATTGGTACAGATCTTTTCCGTTGTCAATTCCATATAACGGCGGAGTCTATGCTTGTCCCATCTTCGTGCATCAGAGCAGATAACGGAACATTATAGTCGCAAGGAGCCTGACGACAGTTTTTCAGAATGGGTCCTTTTTGGGCTGGTTCCAATAACTCAAAAGACCGGCTTTCTATAAACCTCGGTATAGATAGTTGATATATTTATTTATATGATCTTATAAGCTGATCTTCTTCAGTTGATGCGAGGTTGTTATAGGTCTTCGTCGTCGTTGTCGTTGTTGTTGGTGTTGTTGGTCGATGGCTGATGTTTCGGTGATTTCGCCTTCCTCAGGGCCGTGATGTTACGAGTGGAACTGGCCATCCAAAAAAGGCTGGAGATGTTCCTGGGTGTCGGGTTGCGATGCACAGTGGGGGATTGATCCCCCCAGCAGAGTCTCCCAAGCTGATAAGTAGTCTGGCGTTACCATCAGGAAGCCTAGCTAAGAACAGACCAGTAGCAATACCAGAATCCGTCAGCATCCTGGTATCAAACTGGTCGCATGGTGGCAAATTGCCCTATGATCCACGAGGATGGATACCGCGTGTGGTGACGACCTGGGCAGACTTTGGTCAGGTTGACCTCAGTGCTAAAGGGAAGCACAATGGCTAAACCAGTAAAATTCCAAAAATTTGAGAATATGCTGGGGACCGCACAACTAGTGAGGATGGGCTGTCGAAGCATCTAATTAAGTAATTATTTCCGTTCTTGCTCCGATACAGTTCATTCTACTGATAGGTCACATGATAGATTCCAGCGGTGCATTCTGGATGAGTGGTTAGTAGGAAATGAAGCTTACTTCTTCTAACGTATGCATGAGTAAAGTTTTTACAATAGAGGTTGACTGCAATGTGTTTGAATGGTGGGAGGAACAATGTTTTCTTCACATCAAGACATGGGCATGTTCGAAAAGCATGGAAAGACCCATGGATGAACATATAGGAAGCGAAGGTTAAAAAATCCCTTCCATTGAGCACAAAATTGTTTGCAAAAATCAATATAAAAAATAAAGGATAGAGCTTTCGGCGTTGACCAATCCGTTAGAGATGCGCCATGCATTGGACATCATTAAGCACCGTTTGGAGGTGGTTGAATGCATATCTGCCTTCACAATGACTTGCGGTGGCCTACCGATGTATACCGCCAGTGCTGCTGTACTTCCAGACAACTCTAGTACCAATCTGCCAACCCCGCATGGATGGAAGACTTGGTGGGCCAGTGGCGAAGTAATCGATCCCATGTGTATTACAGGGCTCCCCCGGACTACTGAGCCACACGATCCCGTAGAAAATCGATACATAGAGCGAAAACTACAACATAATGGACGGTGTTATCCGTTCGATGCAGATTGAAAGGCTGCAGTCAGTTATGACTCATAAATCATGGTGAAAAATTAGGCTTCATTACCGGTCGGTTAATGTTGCTGTAATTAAGCTTTGCGTAATTTGGTTGTGCTTACTTTAAGCGCCAATAGTACATTGGTCCATTCCATGTTGTCAAGCTGGTCAAATTTCGCGTGTTTGTTTTATTGCTTCACAGTTCGAAATATGGATCATGACCAAGAAAATTTATATTTAAAAAGGAGTGTGCCTTGTGCTGCTGCTTAGAATCAGATTTCCTTCATTGTAGAACAGGAAGTTTTTGTCTACTAGGCAAGGATATGGATACTCCAACAGTTTTTATTTCAATTAACAAAGTTCTGTGTGGGTTAGGATATTCTGCCTATTTTGTTTATCATCGTATGAATTAAAATTTATTGATGATGTTGCGAATGTATTGCAAACTTTCAAATGCTTCGACAATCTGCTTGCAGTATAACTTGGCTAGTAGTATTTTTTGTTGTCTATTTTCTAATGTCATAAATAAATCGTGTGATAACGTATGAACGGTCGGAACTTGCGTGAAGATTAGCATCAAAATTGTCTCAGCAATTCCAGGCATGGGCAGACGCATTCCGTGATCAACCTGATTTACAAGGAGTCGTGCAGGTCTATGAAGAACTCGTCACCAAAGGTGTCACGTTTCCGGCCACCGATCTCGACTCACTGGCTCCAATTATCACTCCAAAACAGGTACGATAGCTTTTTTCCACTGTATTCTCACAATACTATGACGATATTAAATACATGATAATTGTTGTTTGAAAAAACTGCGCTTGTCTTATTATCTAAATCTGAAGTCTGGCAAATGTGCTTGTGTTTTCCTTTCCTAGTAGATTTGACCGGAAATGCAGCTGTAGTCACTTCTTTTGGTTCGATCCACTTTTGTACGTCAAGAAAATGCATTTTGTTTGATAGCAACTCGAATTCGTTCTTTAATAGTTTAGATCTTCTAAATATTTACTCATATGAAAGCTGTAAGAAAAAGAGATAAAGCAGTTCGTCATAACGTTTGCGAAAGCATCATCACTTCTGTATTTCTGTTGTTGTTTCGTTCCACCGTGATGTGAAAACAAGCTTTTTTGGAAGCTTCTTTGTTTCTGCTTTTTTTCGCTCCTATTTCTCCGAATCGTTAAAGACATTTTATTACACTTGTTTTCACAGGAATGGCAGAAAAGGTAACCCATCTGTCGCTCTTTAGCTAGGAGAAAATTAGCATGCTTGTGTTTGTGATCGTGATTATGTTGAGTTGTAGACGGTATTCACGGAACCGCAATCGTCTCATCGTCCTCATCGACCAATTTCTGACGGATCTTCAGTGAGTTGCTGGATTTAACACTAAGAACGCATGTGAGAGAGACAAAAGTGTTCTATCTCGCCGAGTAATTAAGTAGTGTTGGGCAACAATGGTCATGTTTTCAATTCACTTGTTGTTAATGCAATTTTTCCTCAGTTATTTGGAGATCAACAGATTTTGCTAACTTTAGAGCTACGAAGTGGTCACACAGCCTGACGGCCCGCTGACTGCTACTGCTGAACAGCTAGCGAAACTGCGATCCGATCTTGATGTAGCGAATTCGAACTTGAAGGTAAGGTTGGCTTTCTTGACTCTTTCTCTTTTATTTATTTGCCATTTAAAACCACTACTCTGGTCGTTATACAGGTGTTTCGCGAAATGCTTACGGAGATTGTTCCGGGACGTGAAACTACGGAAGAGTTACGTCTACTCAACGACTTGTACGGAACTTGTAAACAGATGCAGCTACGTGTATTGGATTTGATTCGTACCGTGGGGAACGAAGAAGTAACATGTTTGTTAACAGTTTCCATTCATCCTACTTCCATAGTTTTCCAACATTTGTTGCGTATTACGGGATTTTCGGTTTGATCGTATCATAAACAGATCAACGTTTGAGTAATTTCATTTATGCAAGGGATCCTATCAACTTTTCCAGAGGTATAAATTCGAGTGTTTTCTAGAAAAGTAGTGATAGTTAGCATATCCTCGTTTGTCGTTTGGACCTAACAACTTATTCCATCCATCTCATTGTTTTGCTAGCGTCGTCTGTGGTGGTGGTTGACTTCTTGTGTGGCATCAGCTTCGGCTTGAAATATTTAATGACGATTTTGAGTTCTTTTCTGTAAAATGCCGAATTAGCCGTGCTAGACCATACGCAGGTCGTAATTGCAGACTTGCCGGTCGTTGTTATGGGAAAGAAGTGTACTGCCTTGCCACTAGAACTCTTTCATGGCAGCAACCATATTTCCAGTTACTCAACCGACCAAGAGCCATGTAACAGACCATGTAACCGAAAATAAAGCTATTTATACGTAAATTCAGACTTACATATCTAACAATTTGGTACATTGGAGACAAACAGTTGTCGTTGAAAGTGTGTCCCTCTTAAGCATTCCCAAAGTCGGTTTGGGCGTTGACGTACTAAATGAGTTTTATAACTTCAAATATTACAGACGAACTTCTTGTGATGAATGATGAATTCAACAGCATATTTGAGAAGTACGAGCGATTTATGACGAATCGAAGTGGAGAGAGAGGCGCTGATGTTTCGTCTGCGTTGCCTGGACCACCAACTGGTGACCTTATTGATGTCGGACAATCAGAGAAGACACTAGGGGAACAGCTTACTGGAATGAGTTCGTTTTTCTTTGTTTTATGCAATCAGTTAATAGCAACTTTGGATGTCTTTGCAAAACAGCAGCATAGCCTTTTTAATGTGATGGGAAATGATATACAATAGTAAACAACATTGGATTCAAATTATTGCTATAAAAGGTTTTTCGGTATTTTTCTATTTATTGCTGCTACCCACTTATGCTACAGTTACGGTTGAGCGCATGAACGTTAGTACAGAGACTGGAAATGGAGATGACGTGCAAACGAAATTACCCAAAATAAAGCTATTTTAACATTCTCGTGACGACGCCTGACTTCCCGTTTTGAGCAGTGGTTGACGACTAATTTTTTTCACAGCGCTCCACACATGCCTGTGTTGCACTTTTTTTTGCAGCTCACACGTCCCTCCCCTTCTATTTTTATTGCAGTCACCGTCCTATAAATTGGTTTTTCTCTGCGTCTTTAAGGAGTTTCTGCGCTTCTCTTGTATTATACCATGCGTGCTCCGTGTTCTTCTGTACACCCTTCCATGTTTTTAGAGCGTACAAAACTTCTGTGTGAAGAAAAAACACTCGTTCACAAGACAATCTCACTACTGGTAGCATTTAATACTCTGGCGATGATTGAATCGTATAGGGTGTTTTACTGGCCACTCGCGCAAAACCGTGATGACACCTACTGGTATCATTCGTCGCGGGAGCAATAAGTGTTTATCACATACTTGACGTTTTTATTGGCAACTATGTATATTTTGAGATGTGGAGATGTGAACGGAGAAGATTTTGTGATACTTCACACTTTTTCCTGCTATGTCGCAATCACAATCCTCATGATTCATTTCTGCTCCCTGAAATCCCAAACTATCCCTATTTGAACACATACTCTTATCGCATTTTCTTATTTTACCTTGGGATATGTTGTGAAGACGCATATAAAATAGCCTGCTAATATGTTTCTTAAGAGGTCACGTCATCGACGACGGACTCCTATTCGGCTAATAGTGAAGCACAGGTTGCTGTCGGCATTGCAACTGTAATTAATAATAAGGTGACTGAGTCAAATCTTTCACGAATATTCTGCACCGTAAAAGTAGCACTAATTCAGAATAACGTTACTGATGTGGAGGCGCGCGAAATGGAGAAATGGTTGGCAGCTCAAGGTCAAAAAGGTTTGTAACAAAAGGAGCGTTAACGTTTTTCTACGTCTACCGAAATAATGTGTTGTGTGAGGAAGTCTTGCGAAAGTAACTCCCACGACCGAACTTTCTATTAACCTCGGCATTGATCGAGTAATTCTTCGTATTTTTGTTCAGCAAACGCGAGGTGTTATTATTCTTTATCGCCTTAAAGCTGTCGTTTCGGTGGATTTCGTCTTCCTCAAAGCCTGGAAAGCTCAAGTTGATAGCAATCCATTCGGCCAGACACCTCCATAACCAAACAAAGAAACTCTAAACCAAGATTTCAATCACACTGAACACAGCTTTGCACACTCACCGCTTTCTATGAGGTTTCCACTAAGTATGTCACGTGAAGACCAACCCCACAGAAATTAAATGGAAGCATAATGTGCCTTTCCCATCACAATAACAGTCTTATATACTGCCCTATATCACACGTGATAAAGAGGCATTCTTCCCTGCAGTTCATGTTCGGATTTCCGGAATTAATCCAGAATGTCTCGAGAGTTTTGCGCGCTTGTGTTTTTGATTCGTGTGCGAGGATCGTGACACATACTTCAAAGTCCTCCCCGTTATGTCTCTGGGTCCTATGCGTGCCTAGCGGGATATTTGGTCTACGTTTGCCGGCTAGGTGTTCTTTTATGCGGACACAGAGGGATCTGTCCGTTTCGCCAATGTATTCGTCTCCGCTCGTCTTACAGGAGATCAGATAAACTATACCCGACCTCATGCAATCACCGTCTCTACCACGAGAGCAGAGAGGAGTCCCGGAACTTGGCTCGGCAAATAACCATTTCTAATGGCTACGAAACTGTAGCTCGGGTTAGGTGTAGGGAAAATCCTAGGCTCCCAAACAACAACTCTAGTAATAGAAAGGTCCCATTTATCCTACCCCTCATCTCAAATGATGCAAGTACAGCCATAAAACGTTGCTTAAGACGCGCGGGTCCAGAGATTTCGGTAAACGTAGTTGAAATGCCACTGAGTATTCTTAGGCGCCAGCTAGTTCGTAACCGCCAATATGAGTGTCTATGTGCAAAACAAAATTGCATAATTTTCCCGAATGGTAGAGACGGGCATTGCTTGAGCTCGGGTATAGTTTATCTGATCTCCTGTAAGACGTGCGGAGGCGAATACATTGGCGAAACGGGCAGACCCCTCTGTGTCCGCATAAGAGAACACCTAGCCGGCAAACATAAACCAAATACCCCGCTAGGCACGCATAGGATCCAGAGACATAACGGAGAGGACTTTGAAGTATATGTCACGTTCCTCGCGCACGAATCAAGAACACAAGCGCGCAAAACTCTCGAGGCATTCTGGATTAATTCTGGAAATCCGAAAATGAACTGAAGGGAAGAATGCCTCATTATGACGTGTGATATAGGGCAGTATATAAGACTGTTATTCTGATGGGAAAGGCACATTATGCTTCCATGTGATTTCTGTGGGGTTGGTCTTCACGCGACATACTTAGTGGAAACCTCATAGAAAGCGGTGAGTGTGCAAAGTTGTGTTCACTGTGATTGAAATCTTGGTTTAGAGTTTCCTTGTTCGGTTATGGAGGCGCCTGGCCGAATAGATTGCTATCGACTTGATCTTTCCAAGCTCTGAGGAAGGTGAAATCCGCCGAAACGTCATCTTATTCGTGAATAAAGAATAATAACATCTTGCAAAAGTGTCTATATGCACTTATACATACTTGATACTTGAACGGCCCGTTCTCAGTGGTTGTGCGAGCCTCGGCATAATCTCTATTTTTCAGAGATTTGTTGGGTAAACCATTGTGGTTCCCTGAAATCTCGAGATCACCTGGGCCTAAGTCAGCCCCAGGTCGTCACCACGACAGGCAGTCGCAGCTCTTGTGGATCAGGGGAGAGATTTGCCACCATGCGACTTTTATACCATGACGATGGTGCATCCTGGTATTGGTTTACTCTTAGCTAGGTTTCCTGATGGAAACGTCGGACTCCTCAACTTGGGAGACCCTGCTAGAGGATGAATCCCCCGCCGTACATCGCAGTCCGAACCCAGGAACACCTCCCACCCACGATGAGGCGTAAACTGTTGGGAGAAGCAGAATATATATATATATATATTCTGCTGTGTTAATGCAGCTGAGCCAGTATTTACTTAGATACTCATATGATCCGTTATCACGAGCAGGTTTTCTATTCGATCCTTTGTCTCCCGATAGTTTTCTGTGTTGGTGTTTTGCTTCAAGTATCCGAACGGAAAGATGCGAATATGATCCAAAATCTCGTAAAGCAGTTGAATCTGCGAATAGAGGTGGTTGATTTTAACAGCAAACAGACGATTTACCTTTACCGTTGTCGTCCTAGAGGACTCTTTTGTTCCATTATTTCCTCTTAGCTGTCGTCGACTTTTCGCATTCATTAACTGGGTTTTCTGTGTATCACTTTCGTTATGTATTCGCCTGAATCTAGAAAATAGGATAGCTTCGGACGTCTGAGCTGCGGTGTCCAACTAAACACTTATGCTCCGGCTGTATTTCGGAAGAAATCGTTCAAATTCTCTGTGCTTGGTGCGCAGAATACTTGAAATAGGGAATAAGTTAAAAAGTCAGCACAGTATTTTGGGTCTGTTGAAAGGCCGGCGTCTTCTTTTCTGTGAGAGCTTTGAGATAGTACATGCATCATGCTGCTCTCCTTTTTTAGTGCGATTTCTCTTTCATGCCGTTTGTCATATTCTTGGAACTTCGAAGCTGCATGTAGGATGTGGTTTCTAAAGTCACATCATGTTACACTTTGTTACCTTTTCACGGCATCTTTTTCATGTATTGGATTTTATTCAGGTTATGTGCATCGCTATCCTTTTTACCGCTTCGTTGAGCTCTTTGAGCTTCATCTTTGGATCCACTCCCACTCTTAAAAAAGATGACGACGTTGTCGCAAAGCGAAGTTTTGGCTGAAGTTTTCTATTAATGCGAATGTTTTTCTCATGCCAACAAATCTACTTCGTTCTATAATAAGTGCACTGCTTCACTAAACATCTTTGCCGAAATAGCGTCGCCTTGTCGAATTCCTTCTCTGTGTTTGATAGTAGGTTGTATGGATAAACCGTAGTGGTGCAGTTATAATAAGAGCCAGATAGAGCTCTTGTGAAGGACGGGCCCACTTGTTGGTGGAGGAATGCTGACTTCATCGTCGTTAGGAAATTTTAGGTCAAATGATAGGTGGTGTTCCAAGCGGACTTCTATGAGTCTGCAGCCTTGGATCGTTTACTTGAGTATTAACTGCTGATTTCGAGCGAACCCTACATTTCAAAATTTATCCCTTAAAGCTTCCACTGTTCCAATCAGAACTGGGAGAGAATCAGCATAAGATCAGTACTAAGAATGCATAGCAATCCTCTTTGTAGTGCTGGTGATAATAGTTTGGTTTTCAAAGCATCAGTTCTAATGTGGTGACTTCCCATTTAGTTGTCCCTCTGTATCACCTGCTCTCCCATTCATTGTCAAGTGATTCGACCAACCACAACTAATATTTCCATTTGTTTCTGTGGCTTTCTATTGTTGTCAAGCGAGTTTTGTTCGAAATACTTATAGAGTAGCATATTTTCTATTAAAGTAATCTAGCAGTCAAATTGGCCTTATTGTCGTATGCTTGATATTTTGTGAAATCCAGCTGCTAACGACGGTAGTCCATCGGCTTCCTTTCGCACATGGCAGATAGATTTTCCAGGCCTACTTAAGGCACAGGTAATATTGGAGATACGAGGGTGGGCAAACTTTGGTGTGCTTTGCTTTCTTCACTAAATTCTCGATGTTCATGTTTGCTTTCGAAGCCTGTCTTTCGCTACAGCTCTGTTCTGAGACTGGGTTGTTCATCGTTATTATTTACTGGTCCAGATATACATGTACAGAACATTTGGAGATATTCGTTCTGTTGAGATTGATTAAGACCTTGGTAACAAATTTTCCCCTAGTGCAAATTATTTACATTGTGTTCAGTGACATGCCAATAATTCAGTGTGGAGCACTAAAGTCAACTATATTTCGTTCTCTTTTCTCAATATTTCAAGATATGAGAACATTATGGGCCAGAAAATCTCATGCTATAACATTTCAGCTATCGCATGAGAGCGGGACTGAAGGATTTCAACTACGTAGTACCTTTTTATGGGATATATGGGCTTCGTCGGGGAATGGCGAAGCTTCGTACAGTTTTTAAATCAATGAAAGGAGGATATAACGGTACATTGTATTTTCGATGCGGTTGGTCCTCATTAAGTGAATATTTTCCCGCTGAAATCGCCAATGACGACCATCTTAAGGAATGTAGTCATTCATGCCGGGCATAAAATGCTTTGATCTCGCCTCATCGTAGCTTGATGTTGAAACCTAGACAATAAATACTGTTGAATACTGTTTGCACTCTTTTCTGGTTTTCCTCATTCCGACGACATAAACTTCTTCGCTTGCATCATCAGATCCCCAATGGAGAATTTTAATGGTAACACGGATGCGTTGAGAATGGCCGGAAGTCATCACCAAAATCATTCCTGACGTACACAGCAGGGTACTGTTCTGAGATTTCAACAGATTAAAGCTCCTCGAAAATGTTGTAGATTCTAAGCTGCTTCTATGCATTTCTGCAATGCTCCCATATGGCTTTTCGAAGTGGATTGAACCAAATTTCGTGCACTTTTCCACAACCTGATTGTTGACTTCTGGTGGCCCTAGTCCACATATTTTCAACCGTAAACCTCTTATTCGCATATATACTTTTTGGAAATAAGTGGTAGTCACGGCTGGCCCTATATTTGACGACAGCACCCGATATTCCAATTAGTAGTTACTCTTGAGTGAGATAAGTTGTCCTTATTGTGGAGTGTAGTAAAGTATCTAGCATCTATGAAGCTCCAATAGGATATGACCAATTTTTCGTGCTGTTTCCGACGAAAGGTGTTGGTCACTATTTTGCTGAGCTGAGTGCGTAAAAAGCGGTAATCGTGATGAACAATCGTTGTGTGGATG